AGTGCATATTTTTGTTTTTAGTGTATTTGCTAAAATGACAACATTCTGTTTTTTTTGCTTTTGCAAATTAAAGATACTTAATTTGCGCTGAAGAACACACAAAAAAAAAAAAACAATAACAAAAGTAAGGTGGCAAAAATTAATATAAACTGGTCGTTGGCACATTTTTGAGTAGGTGGAATACCAAACCAGGTGCTTGGCTCATAACGCTCACGGCAAAGCGCACAACTTACAAAGTTCGTAGGTAGGTGGACAGAGAATGAACCCGACAAAAGCACACACATAAATTTAGTGTATATGCATATACATATGCACATAGCCACATATGTATCTATATACAAACTTATGTATAGTTTAGCTATAAATTAGGTGAGCTCAATGTGACTGACACCATCAATTGTTGGTCTTTACGCTTTCAATTTCCTAATTGTTTTAAGATTTTCTTAAATGCATCTAATAGCTGCTGCGGGCAGCCAGGCCAGCACACAAGTTGCAGCAATTAAAACTGTAACTTGTAAAACTGCTACCTACAATGTTTGCGTGCATACAAGTGCGAGCATGGTGTGCATGAGTACATATGTACCATTCAGTGAGCTTCCACTTGTAACTTCACAGCACAGCACAAGCACGGCCCAGCCGAAAGCGAAAAATACTGTTTGACATTTGATGATATCATATTTTTTGCTTTTATGCTGCGGCGTTGAAATTCGTAGGTAAACAAGTGCCAACGACTAAGCTGCTTAACAAGAATATACATATACTTGCTATGCACAATCATACACATGTACATATGGAAGATCTTCCGAATATTTAAAGATTTATGCTGCAATGCTGATTGGAATTGTGTCGCTTAAAAATAGACAAATAAATATGCATACATACCTGTCTAGTTTCTTGCTGGCCAGCATCCATCATTCAATTATATCCAGATCACACTGTTTAAGTGTTTTCCAATTGACCAGCCGCAGCTCGTTTAGAAACCAATCTGTGGTAGTCGTTGTCGTCTTGATCCTGGTATAGGCCGTGGTCTCGTCGACGCCGCAATGTCGTCTTTCGCTCAACCACGAGCACGGTGTATTCCACTAGCAGACAACAGCAATCAATCCTTCGAATCATGCAACAAAAAGAAAGCAGAAAAGCCTTCCTAAACGAAACTTTCTTTCACACCAATCATAGACACACAAAATTTCAACAACAAATTCCACATTTATGTACTAGCGTAAGTTAATGCTGTTTTGGAAAGGTGCTACGCCTGCTTAAAACTTGTGAATCACTCTCTGGTGATTTAGTGCTAGCTAGCTGGCGTATTAGCCCACCGGCGTGGGGGTTTGCCACCGAAGATTAAACGCACCAGTGCATCAGCTGTTGCGACTTATCGATATTTAACCACATAGCACGCACTTCTTCAACGCATTAATGTAAAATTCTATTAATTATATAAACAATTATCAATTTGTTTGGCTTTTCTTTCACTTCGTGTAGGATATTTGGATAAATACAAAGATTATCTCATTATTAATTTCTTCGCTCAAAATTTTCTTCAATTCACACAAAAACGAAAAAAAACTCAACACCTGTCCTCTCGTTCACACGCACACGAGCTAATTGCGAGTGCAAGCTATGGCGTTTTCTTTCTCGCACATGCATTTAATACGCGAGGCACGACCCTAAACGAAAATGGGAGTCGCGTAGTGAAATTTTTTCGGCCGCTCAGGAAGTTGAATATTTCCTTTGGAAAATTGCAATTTCAGTTGGATAACCAATTGATTTAAAATCGCTTGCTAATTATTACTAAATCACCACTACTCACTATAAATATTGCAAAAAAAATTTTCTAATTTTCTTCTATCTTCCTCAGCTCAGAAACGCGAACGAAATCAAGTTAATGGAGGTGGAAGAATATCGACGATACAAATGATATATCGATGTTATGTGCTTTCTAAGCAAACTATCGATGTTATCAGACTATCGATAGTATCGGATACGACAGTACATGTAACATACGGCAGATAAATCCCGTGACTTCGCTGTCTATTTTTAAATATGATCAAAATCATGCGAACACGAATCGAAAAAGGAAGATCTTGGGAAATGGGGAAATTCTTTACTTAAAATTTTCTCAGTAGAGAAAATAACCCAGTAGTAAAAATGCAAAATTTATCTGCGTGTGGCCTTGAAATTTGATATTTACTTTTATTAAAAAAAGTTAATTGATTCATGAGACGGTAATTATCTAGTTGGGCTTTCAACGCCCAAAATTTTTTGTTAACAACTTTTGATCGGGTAAAAAAAGTTAATTTCCGCTTTCGGATTCTTGTTATTGGGGACCAGACGCGTCTAATGGTACCCCCTTTCCAAAATGTTGTCCAATTTTGGGGGTTGAAAGCCCACCTAGGTCATAAAAAGAAGCGGAAGTATTTCTGCGAAGAACTTCGTTGCGAAGAAAAGGCGCTGAACACCTTTTGCAGAGAACACCTTTCTGCGTAGGTTAATAACTTTTGATTGGGTAAAAAATGTTAATTTCCGCTTTCGAATTTTTGTTATTGGGGTCCAGTATCCCCTATCCAAAATTTTGATCAATTTTGCGGGTTGAAAGCCCACCTAGATAATTACCCAAGAAACTTAAGGATGAAAAAATTCTACTGAAATGTTACTTTATGAAACATTGTTCCATTTTATATTTTAGGCATAAGACCTTATATACGTATAATTTTGGCCTACCATATCGATATAACGATAGTGTTCATCAGTGTTATCGATAGTTTTCTACTTCTAACAACTCCAAGTGAAAGAAAACGTCATTTGCGATGCTGCCATATGTGTGGGAAAGTACAAAGTAGTAAATTTGACTGAAGTGACAGCGGGCAAAGCTGGTAAATTTGTTGTCGATTTACGTGCTCAGTTGCAACCGTGGTGATTAGTTATGACAGCAAACCGGAAGTCGACAAAATTTGTTAGGAAATGAAATAGAAAGGAGAATGCGGAACTCAATTGAAATTGGATAAATACGATACGAGTTGAGATAAGACAGACGCATAAAGATATAGGAGATTAACTGATGCTATAAGAATAGTCGCAATAAAGTTATCGAACCCACCGCTTCCAATTGGACCGTTGCTTTACTAACGGGCCAGACGATATTGAAAGGCGGAATTGTGTGAAGAGTTCATCCGTTTTTGGCACAGCGGCAATGGGAAATTTTAAGCTTCAACTTTTATTTTGCTGCCACGGCCATATGTAGGTATGAATAACAATTTTCAGTCTCAAATCCACTTTAATTGTATATTTTAGCCTTTCTTACTGCACATTCTTAATAAAGTAAACGTACACCTTGTTTATTATTAATATTTTTATTTTTAAATTAAGTTTATTTTACAGTATCAATATATTTTACAAATATTGAATAGAAAACACTAGATATTGTGAAGTACGAACCACAAGCTATGCGAATTTTTATTCGTTTTTTTTTTTAATTTTTTTCAGCAAAAGTGCAGTGTCGTACAAGCACAATTATTAGCTTACAACTATAAAATTGAGGGCAACTTACGCCTGCCTGCTTATAAGGTTAGGCAAGGTCTATTTTTTTTTAAGTGGACATAAAATAAATTACATAAACTGAAATAAAATAAAAAAATTAGGAATGAAAATCAAACAATATAAATAAAAAAAAAAAAACGCTTTTAGAAATTTTCATTTTGTTTTCATTTATAGCGTCGCACTATACATACACACATATATGACAGGAAAAGTTAAATCGGACCTACGGCTCGAAAATAAGTGAATTTGTTTGTTCTTTTTCCGATATGTATTCATCTGTGAAGTGAAATTGTGAAAAACCCAGGGACTGAAAATAATCGTTATTATTAGGGATTTTTATTTTAAAATCATTGCGAAATAGTTATTTTTTGATTTATATTTTTTGGATCATTTTTAACCGTTATTTTACTATTTTTGTTTAATAAACATAAGCGTATTCCATTGATTTTTTTTTATGATTTTTATTTTTTCGATCAGATTATTCATTTGTAGATCATGAAAGATTTAATTCGGTTATAAAAACGTAGTCTCCATTATAACGGTTAAAAATGATAAAAGAAAACACTAAAAAATACCGAAAAAGGATTATTTCGTATCCAAAAAATTTTGAATCGCAAAAATAATCGAAGAAATAAAAATCACAAAATAACGATTCAATTAGGATTTTTATTATAAAAATCATAACGGTAACGATCACTGGAAAAATGCAGCTACAAAGCGCGTAGCATCTATAAAAATTGCTAAAAAAAATCGATTTTTTCGGATATTGATTTTTTTTTAAAATATTCAAAATGTTTTCCAATGCAAACATTTTTAGTTTTTTTAAATACATATTGTTTGTGCTTTAACAACACAAACTTTTTATAAAATAAAATACGCAAAACCGTTCGTAACAATATTAAAAAAAATTAACGCGTTTTTACGAATTGCACTGGTTATATAAGAAAATAGCAAAAGCTGTCACTAAAAAAAATATATATGTATTAAAAATCAACGCAATTTTTCAGCCGCTAGAAACTTGCACTTTATTATACTAAAATTACACTGGTCTACAAATTTCAACTTTTTTTCTGCGAATAAGACGGGACCTGGTGTTTCTGAACGGATTTTTCGTGCTGAACACGAATCCGGGGTCAAAAATGTCCCATCACGTCACGTTTTCGAGAAAAAAGGGGTTGAAACCCCTAAAAACAGCGTTTTTGACCATTTTCGAAAAATTATAGAGCTGAACCCTGACGTGGTACAAATTTTGCATATATCAGAAATTAAAGGCTAAACCGTGCCCTTTCGAATGAGCCCTATGCCGAATTGATCGCGTGCACCCTTAAAGCAGGGGGTGTATTTGTGTTTAGGGGTGCAGGAAAAATTGATCACAGAAAGAATTTAATCTTAAACGATCATAGAAAATTAATAATGCCAAGGTTTTAACTATATTAAAAGTCGCTGATTACGAATCTGCAGTTAGATTTTAAAAATTTAAGATGACGGGTCGAATATGGTGGATATAAAAATTGGACTCCTAGACACAAATACACCCCCTGATCTAAGGGTGCATGCGATTAATTCGGCATAGGGCTCATTCGAAAGGGCACGATTTAGCCTTTAATTTCTGACATATACAAAGTTTGTAGCACGTCAGGGTTCAGCTCTACAATTTTTCAAAAATGGCCAAAAACGCTGTTTTTAGGGGTTTCAACCCCTTTTTTCTCGAAAACGTGACGTGATGGGAAGTTTTGGACCCCAGATTCGTGTTCAGCACGAAAAATCCGTTCGGAAACACCAGGTCCCGTCTTATTCGCAAAACCCTTGTAGACCAGTGTTATTTGGGTTATAAAATTACATTCCCAAAAATATTCCTAGTATTCAGATTAAAAAGTACAAAATTTTGATGAACATTTTTGGAATTTCTCTAAATTATATTAGTAATCAGATTAAGAACTTCGAAAATTTGATGTAAATTTGTTTTTTTTTTTAAGCTTTGTGCAAAGTGTGCAACTTTTTACATGATTTTGCTTAATGCAAGAAGAAAATTTTTATGAAAAAAAATAACTTTAATAACATTTTGAATATGTATTTGAGAAAACTAACATGTGAAAACATGTTTAAGTCACTTTATATGGAAATACGGAAATTTTCGCAACTTGCGTTAAAAAAAAATCATATGTATGTATATAAAATTTTATGTAAACATTGCTTAACCTGATCATCAGAAAGGCGTTAACTGCTTAATAATAATGTAACAATTTTTAAGAAAAAAAATTTTCACCACAATTTTCTAAATTATTTTTTTGCTTGTGGTGTGCCAATTAAGAATTTGCAAATTTTGTTTGTTTTTATTTAGTTTTTCTTATATGCATGCAAGTAAGTTACTATCATTGTCTAATAATCGGTTTTGTTTTTCTTCATACTTTTTAACTCCTTTTTATTTATTTAAAAAGAAGAAACATCTTGCTAAATGTCGGCTAATCTTTAATGCTAAGCTATTGTATGTAAGTGTGTATGTGAATGCTAGATATGCTTAGGTATTTTGTTTTTGAATGTGTACAATCCGCCTAACAATTATGAGTTGTTATAATTTCTGCTTATGTTGTATTGATTTTTTTCTTTGCTGTAAAAGTTGAGGGAAAATTCGTATACAAATTCTGCTAAATTCATTAACTATCTACATCGTTTTGTTATAAGAGTTATATAATTTAATTATAAATGGTTAAACTTTATTTTATTGATGGTTGTATTATTTTTTGAAATGATTTTATATTTTATTTAGAAATGTTTGATATGAGTTGCTGCTGATATTTACAATTGCATATGTGTGTTCTTTTCTTATTTATTAATGTCTTATATTTTGTTTTCGAGTTCATAAGCTTATATACAAAAACTGTTTAATATAAATACTAATTGAATGCTTTTTATACTATATATGTATGTGTATGTGTATTATCTTGCTCTTCCTAGTGTATTTCTCTGTTAAGTAATGTATTGCACGCGAAATTATAGTTATATATGTCTATGGTTTTTATTTTTATAATTATTATTTTTTAACTAATATAATTTTTTTCTTACACACATTTTTTTCTAATAAATACATGCTTATGTACATACATACATATATTAAAATTTAAACATTTACTGTTTATGCATCTATTAACGCTTAACTATTATAGAAGAAAACGATAAATACATATTTTGTTATTTTGCCTTTCGATAATAAATACATACATATTTTTCATGTTTTTTACGCTTAGCTTAACCAAAAAGATATGTTATTTGAATATGATTTAAATTTTTTATTTTTACGAATCGCAACTGTTCTTCAAATGTTTTATGTAAATATGTATGCATGTTTCTTTGATATTTGCTGTTCCAAGATATTTGCAAACCAATTTGCATTTTATTTGGTCGACGTCACCAGCTGACTTGTCCCATAGCCTTGGGTATTACACGTCGGCAGTGTGAAGGGATTGAAGCTGAGGCCACTAACTCCTGGAAATTGAAAAGAAGAAAGTATTTACAAATGGGGAAAGATATAGACAGGATGTTATCAGTAAATGTTGAACTATGCAAATATTAGTTTATTTAATAACCAGCGAACTAACAGTTTTAAAAAGCTCACTTTAGGATTTGAAAATCCAACTTAAGCTTTCAGATTAACAGACTTTTCGAAAGTATACAAGTAAAAAGGTTTTTATACTCTATAAAACTATAATAAAAAAGTAAAAAAAAGCCCATTGAAAGCTCTAAAGATCTTGACGAGCTTTTGTAAGATAATTCCCTAAATTTTGCGAAGGGTAAATGACCAAAACTAATTGTGCGGCGCGCTTTAAAGGCGCACACATTTTTTAATGTCATGCACAAACCATTGTAATCTCATAAAAGCTCTAAAGCTGACCCTTTGGTATGCATTACCTTTAAAGTGTAAAGGCCATTTTCTTAAGTAACTTTTGAAAGTTATCTGCCCTCTATATTTTAAATTTTGTTCTCAAACTAATTTTTAAAGCGCACATTAATTCTAAAAGCTGCTTGAGAAAAAGGCTAGGGCCACTTTTAATTTTGTTCTAAAAAAATTTGTTCAAAGGGCAGATAAATTTTAAAAGCTGCTTTAGAAAATAGCCTTACAAAATTAAAATTGTGAAGCTGAGCTTTTAAGCTTTAAAAAAAGTTGCGACTGAGGAAATGTAAAAGAAAGTGTTTCGAAGCTCTAAATCTCCATATAGATTTTTTTTTTCAATATGTCTGAGCTTTTAAGCTTACGTGACTGCTTATGATGCTAGATATGGTCTTAAATGCTGCAAACTAAGACAGCTTTAATGTAAGCTCCTGATTTTAAAAGTGCTCATTTTCAATTATGCTACACCAACTTAAAAAATATTAAATTGGCACCTTAAAAAAGATTTATTTTACGGAACAAGAAAAATTCTAAAAATAAAATTTTAGGCGAATGGAGCTTTAAAAGCTTTCGATACTCCGTGAGCAAATTTGAAGAGGAACTGTGCCTGAAAAATTCCAAATGGCATCAGTAAATTAGTGACGTACAGAAAGCTTTTAGCAAAGCGCTTGTAAAAGCTAAAATTTTGGCCTTCCTTAATACAAAAAAAGTATATACTCTTTAAGCTTTGATTAGCAGTCTATAGCAATAGGCTTTAGCTTTTATGCTGTATAGATAGTTTTTAAAAGCTTGTCACGCGTGCTTATGAAGTGACCAACTGTGACATACAGCAGTACTGCTCATATAGCGTTTTTTTTAAGACACATGATTATCGGATGAAACCAATCAGATAAGCTCTAGCCGCGTGCCTTGAAAAGATATTCGAATGGTCAGTTTGTGCTTTTAGAAAATTTCGAATAGAAGTGTAGCACCATATTTACGAATACATATAAAAGGATTTTTCGGAGTTTGAAAAATATGACTTATGTTAAAAGCTAGCGATGAAACTATTTTTCATAATTTTGAGTTTTAATACAATTAATGAATTCGAAAAGCTTGAGTGAATTACTCATATTTTCATATAATTCTGTCACGACTGATATATGTACATCCGTGGGATAAGCTTTTTAAAGCTTTTGGTAGATTTTTAAAAACTCTCTCTAAACGTCTCTGATATAATTTGGTATCATAAAATTGGTCACAACCGAAACCTATCCCGTGGTAGAAGCTTTTTAGAGCTTTATATAAATTGTGCATGCTTTAAGATGCCCTAATAAAGCTTATAATAAGCATAGATCGACACTAGTCACAATCAAAAAATATTCCGCAGAAGCTTTTTAAAGCTTCCCTTGCACAGACTAACTATAGGCGGCACATAATAAAAGCTCTTACTAGTCGTCGCCGATCTATACAGTACTTGTGTTTTTTAAGAAAATTAATTTTTAAAAAGCTTCCGAATAACAATTTTTTATATGTAAATTTTTATATTGAAAATGCAACTCTGCTGCACTGTGTGTATGTATATATAGTAATATTATATGTACAAAATTAAATTTGAATGTATGACGTGAAGTATATTTTCTTGTAATTTGGTATGTAGTTTTTTTTTTGCAATGCTCAGGCGCGTACCTGGAAATGGCCAGAAGTGATTGCGAGTCGATTGCGAGTTTTACAATATTTTTAACAAAAAAAAATTGTTTCTTAAAAGTTATCTGGTACGCACCTGTTAAGAATTTTCATGAACAAAAAAACTTCTCAGTGATTTGGCTTCATCGACAGGTAATCAGTTAGCGGTCGCCGCAGCTCAAGCGCCTAGTGCGACGTACCAAAATTTTTTAATACTATTTTATTTTTTAAACAAATTGTTTGCGCTACATTTGCATAGTTAACAACATTTTTAATTATGTATTTAACTAAGAAAAATTAGTAAAATGCTTTTGCTTTTATATACCATTCCAAACTTTCGATTCTCGCATTCGCTTATTGAACATTTTGAACACGACTATGTGCATATGTTTGTAACTTTGGCTGGCTTCACGCTTTCTCTCTACACAGCGGCCGTTGCAATTGAGGCAGCTGGATTGTGCCACGGCTGGTGGGCATGATGATGGTAATGGTGCGGATGTGTGTGGTGGTGGTGTTGCACTAGCGCCTGATGCCACGGTGACGACACTGTTGAAATTAATGGCGAAAAGGCACTGCCTGAGCATATTTCGTTTTTTTTGTTGTTGTTTGTTTGGTTTTTACATTTTATGCAAGTGTTTTGTATATAAATGTTTTTTTTTTTTGAGTTAAAATTTTACAAAGTAAATATGTAAATACATTTAATTTTGCATAAAATAAAAAAAGAAAAACAATGATGTAGCAACAGTACGAATAATAAATAAAAATTTTAAATAATTCAACGTGTTGAAATATTTGTTTTTTTTAAGGTTTTTGTTTTTACAAGTAGGCCATGCAATGAAAAGAGAAAAAGAAAAAAGAAACAAAATCGATAGGTTAGCAAAAAAATCAATCATTTAGATAGGTAAATATGTACAAACATACATAGATACATTTACATATATTTTACACTTAAAAAAAATTAGAGAAAAAAAAGTAGCTTATCAACAAAAAAAACTGATGTGCAATAAAACAATTCCGGCATACACATACGCCGTTATTCACGAACACATACATATTCATGTGCATTAGGGTGGCTCAAAAATGCACCGCAAAATCAAATTTTTGGAATTTTGCTGCTGTCAGCACAGAATTGCAGAATACAGCTACTCAAAGAAGTGTTCACGCGTTGTTTTTTTTTTGTTTTCTTTCTATAAACATATTGTCCAAGCTTAAACCAAAAAATATAAATCAAAGTTTACAATTTTATATAAATGTTATATAAAAAAAGCAAAAGTAGTCACCAAAAAAAATTCTCAAAAATTAATGGAATTTTTGAGCTGATTGAAACTTGCACTTCATTAGATAAAATTGTATGTATAAAACTGCATAGCCCGAAATGTTCAAAAAATTCAAATTATAAAGCTCTAAATTTTGATCAAAATTTGTGGACTTTTCCTATATTTTGTATAAAGTTTGTAGCTTTTATTTATGTGAATTTGGCTAAAGCTTGGACAATATTCTTATAGAAAAACCACAAAAATTTAACTTGAGAAACATTATGAATATTGAAAAAAATCAATACGTAAATACTTGCTCGAGTAGGTATGTATATATCGCACCCTAAATCCAAAACAGACACAACTCAAAATTAAATTTTTTTTATTAAACAGTTCACAGCCCAAAAATCTAACGTACGCCAATATTTCCTCCTCGTCACCGTCTTCTTTAACCGGAAAAATACTATAAGGAATGCTTTTGTTTTACTTGCGTCGCTTGCGCAGCATCAACAGATTTTTACCTCTCCAGAACATTTAGAATGTTTTGTGTTATGACTGTTTGTGATTATTGGAAAAATAAAATTTACCTAGAAATGCTATAAAATCGTTTAAATTAAATATTTGTTTGATTTTTTTATGAATAAAATTATGAAACCTATATAAATTCAAAATAGAGAAAAAAAATGGACCACTCTAATGTACATACATAGTTACAAGCTCAATAACTAAGTAATTTATTAATGTCACATACGCTACACAGTAAATAACTCTGGGCATGAGCACAAAATTTTACATGTTAAAAAAATTAAATTAATACGACTACTTCCTACGACTGAGCCGAATAATTGATAATTTTTAACATCAGTGCATAATAAATATGTACCCTACATACATTGTATTTTCGAATTGTTAACCAAGCCCAATGTTTATTGGATAAATACTACAGTGCTGGCTACTACAATGAAACCATATAAATACTTGGCTACATAATTATTTTGATTTTTTTTTCCGAACATTTCTGTGTAGTGTATTGGTAAAATGCCGTCAGGCGCAATAAAAATATTCCTTATATTTTGTCAAACTATGAAAAAGCATTTGTGAAGTGCAGAAGGAAAGCGTATGGAATGAAAAACTCAATCATAAAATTTCAGAAAACAGCCAAAAACCTGTCCGTTTCATAACCATTTACGGTACTTTTCTGTATAAACGTTTCCGCCGCACACTTTAGGGGAAAATAGGATCGTCAAAGTATCCTAAAATAGAATCGGTAATGGACAATGGAAATGGAAAATCCGCATTTCATCCACTATTTTTTCTTTTTCGGATCCATTTTCGGATCTTTTGCTGTCTCGGAAGCGACACTTTTGTTGAAAGGAATTTCATAGCCGCCAAGGTTCCAGAAATCGTATCACACTGTACCAGTTATTCGACCTTAGAAATAGCCATCAGCACTAAAAAACGCTGCACCAATCAGGCAAGCGAAAATGGAATAAAATGTCTAAATGACGTGGTACCAATTTTGGCACTGTAGTTTTATTTCCGGGTGTGAAGAAAAAAATCAAAGTTAAGTTTTATGGGCTAAATTTAGTTCAAAAATTAATTTTGTTTTAAAAAATCTTTTCTAAAAGTGTTATCAACTCAGTCAAAATAATTACTTTTTTGATCTTATTTAAAATTTTATAATTCCGTTGGAAAATCCGCCACTTTTTTGGTGAGGTACCCTAATATACTTATTTAGTTGGATCCATTCTCCCCGACATAATGCGATAACTATTAATTTCGGGAATCCAGGCCACCGCTGTGACCGATGTAGGCTTATGAGCATATGACCCCATTCTTTCTCTGGTGCTTTCACCCATGAAAAGGTTTTCCACAATCACACGCTTACGTGGAAGAGGAAAATATCGTTTTATCTGAGACTACGGCCGTTCTTCGAACTCGGCGTAATCAGCTAATCTGCTAATCTTCGCAAAATCTTACTTAATCTACTTTTCAACTTGTTCGTTGCGATTGAAAATCGATTTAAAATATTTTATCGTTGATTTTCCGCAGTCAGTGGACATTAAATTCAAACTCGTTGGCAACTAAACTAAACAGAAAGTACTCGTACTACTACATATGAATCAACTCAAGGGGTACATGCACTCAACTACATCTGAAACTACTACTCGTACTTAAACTTACTGCTGGTAGAGTTGAAAACACTGCCTGGTGAAGAGGATAACGTACCCATATTGGTGGTGGGACCATAACCATTAGCAGCCACTGAAGCGCCATAAGAACCGCCCGAACTGTGTGGCGTAGAAGCGCTGCTGCAATAGCCGCCACGTGGACTCACGCTGCTCGATTGTGCGCGCTGATAATCGTCTTCGGTCCATTGGCCGGCAGTATCTTGTACACTTACGGCCAGTTGACCGGTGTAGGAGTTGAAGCCGGTGGAGCCACCGGGAGATCTGGAGGAGAGTAGAAAAGGCAAAGCACAAATTGTAAATGAATTGCTAAAGTATTTGAGTGACAAGGCTTAAGCTAAGTGTAGACGATGCTTACCTTGGCATTGAATACAAGGCTTCCACTAAGTCAGCAGCGCGCTTGAGTATGATTTCCTTTTGCAACTTTTCCGGATCGCCAGGATGACGTGGTATAAGTTTTTGTAGACGCTGAAAACCATAATCGATGGTAGGCTCATTGAGGGCTGCTTAAAGAATAGAAAGGGAGAGTGACAGTGACAGAAAAAGAGAGAAAAGTGCAGGTTTAAGTTTTATTTTGTAGAAAGCTGATTTCCAAGCTACAGTATCGGTCATATCTATAGCACACCATTTCAAAGTGATATTGTGAGCCACTTATGTTTATTTATTTATTTTTAAGAATTTTCAATTAAAATACAGTTCTTTCTCTAACAAAACCCATACAAACCCAAGTTTAAAAATTTGTAGAAAACTACAAAAAAAGTGCAACAAATTTTCACCTAAATTTCAAACTTTTTTCTCGGCAGTGTTTGAATTTTTCTGAATACACAGTTTCATAGCCCAATCAATTTTAGTCTGATAATGTGCAAGTTTCAAGTGGCTAAAAGTTACCGTTGATTTTTTAGATTTTTTTTTGCCAAAGGTGTTGCGGTTTTCTTCCATATACAAATAAATTGAGTTTATTCATTATATGGAAGCCAATGCGACAAAAAAAAATCTAAAAAATTAACGGTAATTCGTAGCTACTTGAAATTTGCACCTTATCAGACTAAAATTGCAGGGGCTAAAAAACTGTGTACTCAAAAAAATTCTAACACTTCCGGGAAAAAAGTTTCAAATTTAGGTGAAAATTTGTTACCCTTTTTTGTAGTTTTCTACAAATTGTTGAACTTGGGTATATATGGGGTTTGTCTGAGAATGAACTAAATTTTAATTGAAAATTCTTAAAAATAAGTAAATGAACATAAGGGGCACACAATATCACTTGGAAATGGCGTGCTATAGATATGACCGATACTGTATATTTTTTTTGCTTTATTACACTTTTTTACTCACAAACATAAACAAATCGTCCTGGCGAACCCTTGCAAAACTGCTTGCTCTTATATGACAAAGTCACCTCCACCACACCGGGTATATGTCGTGGTGGTGTTTGCACCCGAATGGCATGCGATGTAATTAGCTCGCTCCAAACGAGCATTGTGCCGAAGACCACTTGGAGGCCATCGAAGAAATTATCCCCCACAATAATGACTGTGGCGCCGCCAGAAGTCCAACCCTCGCTGGGCGAAATTGCTTTGATGCAGGGCGTGGCCACGGGCAATGGTGGATAAAGACCTGTGTGCGGGAAATAGTTACCTAGCTTTAGTAAAGTGTTTTGAAGTATATTAGGCTTGCGATAAGGAAGGTAGGGTAGTGTTGTTAAGTGTATGACCGAATGATTTGCTAACGAAAAATTATGAAGAAAGTTAAAAGAATAAATTAAGGCTAAAAAATTATTTAGTAGCGGATCTGCGCCTAAACTTATGTTTTATTGTTGCATAAGTTTAGGCATAATTTTACAAAATTTGTTTAATGACATAAATTTAGTTTTACTTAATAAGTGTTTTCGGTAACAAACAAATTCTACATATTCAATTACACAAAAACTCAAAAAAAAAACATTTTCTTCACTAAACAACTTATATCAAACTCAAAAATGTGGTAAAAGAATTTTGTTACGGACCATCATAGGTACTGTCAGGCGCAAGTGGGTGACCCGTTAAGGACAGGGAGGAGTTTCCTGTACCTTCCGTGGTATCCAAACGTTTAGCGCGGCGTCCATGTTTCGAATTGTTATGCACGAACATGTTATCGGATATGGCTAAGAGTGGGCCATCAACGGTCACTTGAGTGGAGATGACAACCTAGGATGAGAATTGAGTTTTTAAGTAATGTGATGGAAGAGGGGATAGATTATTCTAATTCTAAAAAAAAGGTCTGTAGTAAAAACATAAAAATGTTAGAGTTTTTACCTACTTAGTTTTAAATAAAAATGTTTAGCAACTTTTAAGAAAACTAATGTTTTAATTTTTATTTTTTTAAATTTACTATTTTTTAATTTCCGTAAGATGTTATTATGTTTTATTATTTTCTCCGTTTTTAAAAAATTATTTTTACAATTATTTTTGTATTTTTTAATTTTAAGTTATTCATAATTTTTTTTTTTGATTTTTCATGAAATAATTTTTTTTTTGCACTTTTTCACCAAACCTTTTTTTAAATATATACCTGAAAGCGTCTCATATCTCTTGGATTTCCGGCGTTCTTCAGACAATTTTGATTGCATTTTAGAAAGAATTTGAGAAAAAACCTGCAAGAAAAAAATTACATTAGAAATTTTATTTAGCAAATTACACTTAAAATTAAGTTTTGAGGTAGCAGATGATATGAACGCTAAAACACCGCAAACGTGGTGAACTTTGGATTTGGCGTAGTTAAGCTGATGAAAAAAGCCAAACCGTCGATGCCCGTGGTAGATTTGAGGAAAAACTAATTCGGAGGAGAAACCTTGTTGTTCCAAAAATGTCAACATGTTCGACCCTACAACAGGTGCGGAAGGAAGCCCAGCGGGACGTCGGGCTTATCGCATCCCCAAAGAGCGAAATATGGATACCAGTGCCGGCAAAATGGCTTGTTCCATTCCCAAAGGTTAGAGGGATGCAAGGACGGCCGGGGAAGCGGTCTTGCGGGTAGGCAACAACAAAAGAGGCAACAGTTTCTTGGTTTTCTTTGCTTTTCTATGTTTTTATTATTCTTCAAAATTCTTTTAGGTTTTTTAAATTTAAAATTTTTAATGAGTAAAAGTGAGGGAATGTAAATTAATTTGTGACTATCGAAAATCGATTATTACACCGTGCGAGCAAAACAAAATAATTTCGAAAAACGCGAAGCAATCAATATACTCACGAAATTATGGGCCAAATATAGTAAAACAGCAAAAACTATTTAAAAAATTCCGTAATGTAGAATAACAATATGGGAAACAAATTATTGAAAAAATTCTGTAGAATTAAACAAATTTAGTTTTTGGTTCACAAGGACGAATAGGTATTAAAAATTGTAATTGATTTTATTTTTTGAAGATTAAAAAGTTAGAAGGACGCTATTCGAGGAGTCGAGCGTAAATTATCTAGTCCTTACCATTATATTTTTTTCAAAAATAAATATTGCAAGATTTCAACATTATTCAAGGATACAATTATAAAAGGACATTTTCAATACCTACTCGTCCTTATCCACCAAAAAAATTTAATCTGCTTTAATTCCACAGAATTTCTTTCCTTTTTCAACATTTCACTGAATTTTTTAAATAATTTTTGATGTAATCATATTTTTTAAATTTCAGAGCCCTTTAAAAAATCTTGACGCCACACAGTGTTTCGTGTAGAACAAGCTAGGTGGACAAAAACAAAAGTTTTATTCCTAGAATTTTGTATTGAGTAATTAATCATAAGACCAATATAACGGGGTATTTACACTTGTTTGTTATTTTCACTTCTAATATGTTGAGTAATTGAAGTAAGTAAGCAAGAGCAGTCGAAGTCAGAACTGATTTATTTGAAAAATTTGTTTTGAATATTACGCTTCATATAACTTTAAGTCACCACTTCTACTTAATTTTTGTGATGGAATCTGAACTCAAAGGTAAGCTGAAGTTTTTGATTATAATCTTTTGTCAATTTGATTATTTTTAGTATGTCTAACATTCCATGATTAAGAAAAAAAAGATTTTTTATATACATTTTCAACTTCAGAGGTGGAAAAGTTATATGTCTCCTCATGTAACCCCTTGAAATCTTATATATATTATAGTCATGAGTATCTGTTAACACTCGAAACAAAAAACCATTGCGAATTCAGTGCACATATATTTTATTTTATTTTTTTCAGATTTAGTTATAACCATAAAAATAATGGAGTTTTTCGAAGTTTCGTTGAAATATTCGAAACAATCAAGAAATAAAGAGTTATTAAATTTTGTTCTATCAAAATATGATTTAAGTGAAGTAACGGAGCATTCTTTAAGAGATTTAATCATAAAAGTTGCGGCATATTCGTCAAGGCTTTCTGAGAAATGGAAGAGCTCTGGAAGACATCGGGGACGGTTTATAAATAAAAACTCGGAGTTGTTTTCGGGTACAGATATGACTTTTACAGTTTCTGTACATTTAAACTTGCCATCAGAACTACCAGCTACATCTTTAGGTAACCCAGGCCCTGGGAGACTAAAGAAGGACTTCATTCATTCCAGTCAAAAAACTAAACGGCGTCGAGTGGATGACTTACTGCAGTCCAGAAGTGCAGATGAGTTAATTTATGCGGCAGAAGTATCAACACGTATGCCCGGCAACAGGAATATTGCAAATATTATAAAAAATGCGAAAGTTAACACTAAAGTATCCACGGCGAAAACAATATGTGAGCAAAGTGCTAGATGTTTGAGCAGTGTAGAAGCTTTAGCATACTATGTAGATAGCAAGTCGACTACTCATGCGTACAAAATGACTCGGAAGTCATTGGATTATATAAAATATTTTAATAAAATATTACAATATGGGTATCAAACGAAAGAGGTTTAAGAGATCTTTAGTTTGAAGAAGGCTATCAATGGAAAATCAATTAAATCTATGAATTTATACCTTTATCTTCCTATGCTTATTTGAATTTGTAAGGAAAAAACTAAGTGAACTTTTCAATGCAACGCCTCAGTAAATCGCTTAGAACAAGCTAGCTGGACAAAAATATTTTCTGAGATTTTTCGTTTCATATCGTTGGCTGAGTGGAAGATCGACCTATCTCGGCTGCCAGTTCGAAAACGCCCTATCTCAGAAAATTTTTCAACAACGCTCTATCTAATAAAACTTTTCAAGAACGCCCTACTTCAGAATTTTATTGAAAAACGCCCTATCTCAATAAACTTTTCAAGAACGCCCTATCTCAGCTGCCGATTCAAAAACGCCCTATTTCAGCTTATTTTCAATGTATTTTCGTTCGAGATAGGGCGTTTTTGAACCGAATTCTCAGATAGGGCGTTATTCAACCAAATTCTGAGATGGGGTGTTTTTCAAAAAAATTCTGAAGTAGGGCGTTCTTGAAAAGTTTTCTGAGACAGGGCGTTGTTGAAAATTTTTCTGAGATAGGGCGTTTTCGAACTGGCTGCCGAGATAGGTCGATCTTCCACTCAGCCAACGATATGAAACGAAGAATCTCAGAAAATATTTTTGTCCAGCTAGCTTGTTCTAAGCGATTTACTGAGGCGTTGCATTGAAAAGTTCACTTAGTTTTTCCTTAAAAATTCAAATAAGCATAGGAAGATAAAGGTATAAATTCATAGATTTAATTGATTTTCCATTGATAGCCTTCTTCAAACTAAAGATCTCTTAAACCTCTTTCGTTTGATACCCATATTGTAATATTTTATATAATCCAATTTGGGCTTTTAGAAGGGTGGCAACGATTTTCAAAAATATAACCGAAATAATATTTTTTTAATCCTCTTTCGTTTGACACCTATACTGTCATATTTTATTATAAAAACTGAATTTTACTTTTTCAACAGGTGGCAACCCTCTTAAAAAATGTTCCTTTTGTTAATAAAATTACATAAATTGAGTTCTTGGATATAGAGGAAACGTAAAATCTTAGAAAATAATTTTGTCCAGCTAGCTTGTTCTAGACGGAACACTGTGCGCCAGAGAGAAAAACTAAAAACGCAGTTTTACTATATTTGACCCATAATATAATATAATATAAATTTGGGTAATTTTTAGGACTTTGTTAACAAGAAAATTTATATTTCCAATAGTTATTCTTATGAAGATCGACCATGGATACGTGAAAGTTCAAAGAAAAAAAGCATTAAAAGCATATTACCAAAGCCCTAAGGACCAGCAAAGCTTCTATGGCAAGTTATTGAATTGGGCGTATGCAACTTTTTAAGGAAAGAATACGGGTATTCACCAAATTGCGCAAGACCCAGGCCACTTCTCCATTTGGTGAGAACCTATAACATATTGTAAATTATTTACCGTAGATGTTGTACGGATTAAACCTGTGCTATTAATTACAATATCTTTATTTTATTACTTTCACGTCGCTTCATTAAATAATTCATTAATTTTTTCATGCATGCTAAAAATAATATTTAGCTTAGCTTTGCCTAACCTCAAGAGCGCGAAAACAGCAAAAATATGAACAACAGCCACATATCTACTCACACCTCCCTCAACCAACCAACAGGCCAAAAGAGTGCCAAATGCTCTACTCGCTTTCATAGCTAATAATGAATGAATAAAGAAAACAGATGTTTGCCCTGCAGCGAAAAAGTTTATTTGCCTCTTTATGTAGTTAAAGTTGGTCACATTTCCCATTCGACCTCGGGCGCTTTTCGCCAGTTGATCTTAATCAAATATACACTTATGTATGACGGCAGGCGGTGGTAGTCAATAGACATGTCTACGAAAAAGCCCAAAAAAAAATGCAAAAATAAAAACAAAAAGCTGAGTGCACAGCAGTAGTTGACACGAACGTAGCGACGACCTCTTCACAGCTGAATGTCCTTTTGGGTGCTTGTTGTGCGGGTGTGCGCATACTAGTAGCTCCTGTGGCGCTTCAGGCGCAGAGCAAAGCAACTCAGGGGTGTCCGCTGTTCGCCGTCGTGTTAATAACAAATCAGTCGAAATGCCAAACACCGGAAGCCGGTGCTGAATGCTCATGATACTCGGACTTATGAATGTATGTACGTATGTATGTATGTACTTACTTATGTGCATAAACAAACAAACTTAAGCACTTGAGTACTCGTATGTGTATCACTTACGTACTCTTACGTAGGTACTCATCTCAAGTGCACGCCGCTATTCTTTAACAAATTGTTTATCCCATTGAGAGTGTTAATAGATGTAAATTATATTAACGAATGCTGAGCTATGTTTTTTCCTTCTTCTTTTTTTTCTACAAACACACAAATTTTACGTTTTCTGAGCTAATATTTCAACACTTAAAATTTCTACTCAGAAAAAAAGTAATGAAAGTGGAAATAAAAGGACGTGCGCATGTAAATTTTTCAAAGCGAATGTTGAACGTCTCATATTTCTGCTATTGATTAACTGCATTTGCTCGAATTAGTGGGGGAAGCAAAGGACACTGGAGAAGGCTAAAAGGAAATGTACGATTTTTTTGCGTTGAAATATTATTCCGGTTACGTTTATAGCTTCGCTTGTTTGCGACAGAAACGAACAGATGTTGAATTCAATCAACAAGGACTGAGATGGCAACGAATGAGGGAACTGGTGGAGAGATTTTGGTTCG